CACACACTCACACACACACCAAACAAATTCATGATTTCAATAACTGGAGGGCTTGCACAAGTCAGACCCTCCTCCTCTCCCATCCCCCTCCATCCCTCCTCCTCCCCCATCCCCCCCTGGCCAGCCTTTTACCTAGATGAATTTTTGGGGTTCCTAGATGAATTTTTGGGGTTCCCTTTTCCCCTCTCTTCGCTTCTCTACCATAGGACGAGTGAGTCAGGTACGATGTCAGGGTTTTATATGTTTGCTTCTGTGTGTGTGTCTGTGTAAGGTTGTCTCGTCTTTGATCTCCTCCCGATACACACACACACACACACACATACACACACTACAAGCAGGAAGGTAACGTCTGATATCGGGAAATGTTGAATAGGTGACACTATTGGCGTGAGACTTGTATGTGCGTGTATGCATATGTCCGCGTGTGTGTATCTTGTGTGTGTGTATTTATATGTGTGTTGTGTATATATGTGTGTGTGTCCTGAGTGTTAGTTATAATAAGTAACTCCATAATTGAGATATTTAGTCTTATAATTCACTTGGTTTTTAATAACAAGATACATTGTCACTCTTACTGAAATTCACAAGAGTGATTTAGTTTTAGTTAAGGCAGAGCTATTATTATTATTATTATTATTATTATTATTATTATTATTATTATTATTATTATTATTATTATTATTATTATTATTATTATTATTATTATCTTTTCGGTCTGTGTTTAGTTAGTCCAATTTCCTTCTTTTCTGACCGAACTGATGGATGGTTTTTCGTTGAGGGATTTTTATTTCACGTGTGGTTTGGCCAGGTCTTCTTCCCCTGTGTTCATCGTAGGTGTAATTCCTTCCAGATTTGCCATAATTATTCATCGTAAAACATTATTATCGAAATCAAACCACAACATATTTTTCACTCAATGATAATTTCAACTTATTACATCAAAGACAATTTTTTTTAATATATCTTCCGACACTTAGTGAGAAATACAACTCTTCACAAACGCTCATAACTCCTTAAAGTAAGTTAGAGCCGAATAAATCAGTTTCCCTTAGGCTTTTATCCCTAATCCACATTTTTCACCCTCAAAGGCGAAATGTCTTTTTTACTAGTGACCTGGGATAAGAGGGGTCCTGTGTTCGCTATTAGCCTGGGTAGTGGTAGAGGAGAGGAGGTGTGAGTCCAGCTGTACACTAAGACCATTTCCTGGTATCCGAGCCTTATGTTGTCTGCCTGAGGGGTATGTGATGTTGTGTTTATTGGTCCCTGTGTTGGTGGTGGTGGATGACGGGGGGTAAGGGTGTGTTTTTGTTTTGGTGAGATTGACTAGTGATGTGTGTGTGTGTGTGTGTGTTTATGTGTGTGTGTGTGTGTGTGTGTGTGTGTGTGATGCTTCTCCTTGTTCTTATTATTACTTGTGTCTTTCTTCTTCTCTCATCATCATCTTCTACCATCCACACTATCCCTCCCACCTCCCTACCACCTACACCTACCTTTCACACTCCCCATCCACAACTACCCATCCCATTCCTCTTCCACTTACCTTTTCCACCGTCCCGAGGCTTCTGAGGCTTCACTGTGTGTCTCTCCCTAGGGTAACAGCCAGTCTTGTAATACGCTTATGTTCGTCAAATATTCATACGGAGAAGCTTACGAGAGAGAGAGAGAGAGAGGGAGAGAGAGAGAGAGGGGGGGCAGACAGACTTCCATCATCCCCAAAAGGCTTCTAAACACGCCATTAGCATTACGATAAAAGATAAATATATGTGGGTTTTTTTATTTCACATTAACCCTTTTTGAGCGTGAGTTAAAAATATGGTCATTCATGTTTACAGACGAGATCCATTACACAGTAGCCGTCAGTGTTGGGCCCAAATGAACTCGTTATCAGATCTTGTATACCGGGAGTGACTACTGCTGCCATCATTACCTTTGTGTTGTAATTAACGTGTTGCTTTAATCTTGACTTTTTTTTTAATTACGGACTTTTTTCGTGTATATTTTAATTTTTGGGGGTAAGTAAATAAAACTGGTTTTTTATTTTATTTATTTGGTATTGATTTTAGTGAGTGATTTATTCTGTTTTTACATTTTTATTTATTTTTTATTCTTTTTTTAACGAAATTTCTGCTTCAGTGAAATTTCTGTATTGTCTAATTTATATTTTATTGGGTATTTTATTTTGACGGATGTTCTACTTTAATGAATCTAAAATATTTAATCAATTCTTCAGTATATCGAGTTTATGAGAAAAAAATGATCGTGTCAGTAAGGTATTTTGTCAGGGGGAAGGGAGAGGGAGGGAGGGAGGGGGTAAGGAAGAGTGATGGAGGGAGTGAGGGGGTGGGTAGAGGGAGGAAGTGGAGAGGTAGAGAAAGGGAAGGAATAAGGAGGTAGGTAGAGGGAGGGAGGGAGGTAGGAGGAGAAGACGGAATGAGAATGGAGGAGGAATAGAATGAAGAGAGAGGTAGAGGGAAGGATGTAGAAGGAGTGGTGGGGGGGGGGATTGAATAAGGAAGGAGAGAGAGAGAGAGGGGGGGTTGATGGGGGGGGTGAAAGTGACAACGCTACCCGGATTTACAACTCAGCTGGATGTCATTGTTCTTCCGTACGTGTGTTCTTCACGCTGAGAACTGAACAATGAACACCAGATAAAACTCACCGTGATGAACAATGAGCTGCGCGGGAACTGAAACCTTGGAAATATTTATCCCGATCTGGTAGTAACACAGTTCTATCCATCCTGTGATCATAATGACGTGAGTGTATTATGATGGGGATGTATAGATCGACCTTATTGTGTAGGTGTGTCGTGTCGTTTGTGTGAAGCTACGGGAGGAGTTATGGTAGCGAACTCTATTATGTAATATATATTTTATTAATTACAGTTTATGATGTATTTTGTAATTTAATATATTGTTAATAGATTTTGTAATGGTCTGTAAGGTGTTTTAATTATGGTATGCTGTAATATAAGGGATTCTGATGGATGTTATAGTGTTATGTTAATGTGTTTTAGTGTATAATATAGGACATAATGATATAGTGCCATATTAGGTTTGTTGATAGAGTGAATGACGTAACAGAAGGTCCAGGTGTATTTATAGGTTTAGTGATGAAACAAGAGACTATGGGGTATGTTACTGTTTGTTCACCTTTTGTCTGTCCGTATATCTATTATTTCTCTACTTAGGCCTACTATTTATTTTGTTTTAGTGTGTGTGTGTGTGTGTGTGTGTGTGTGTGTGTGTGTGTGTGTGTGTGTGTGGACTTCGTTATTCTCGTCGTCTCTAAGTAATGGTGAGAATGATACCTAATTGCCCGTGTTATGAGCCAGTGTGGTGATGTCGGGAACGTGTGTGAATGTTATTACCACGTCTAGAATGATGTAACCTCTTAATAACTCTCTGTATATATTTATTTAGATTCATACATACATATGTACACATACAAACATACGCACACTGTTATGTATACGTATACCAGGGTGATTCATTTATTAAAGGGATTATAATCTACCGTTTGATCATGTCATCGTCCAACTACCTCGTTACCGCTAATGAACTGCTGTACATTGCAGGGACAACCAGCAATAGGCGGAGCTTATCTGCGCAGTGAGGCGTAGAGTGTGCCCGTAGACAAGGTCCCCCCCCCGTCCTTCCCTCACCTCCCTCCCTCTGTCTCGCTAGGTTGTGTTGACAGTGGCCCAGCTGTGTGTGAGCTCCCGCGTTAAGGAATTTTAAAAACTCTTTCCACCAGACTGTGAATTTGCACCTTGTTGTAGTAGGTTTGTAAGCGATCTTTTAATTTGTTTATGTAAAGTAAATAATTATGTTTGTCTTTTGTTTAATATTGTGTATAGTCGTGTATGTAAACATGACCGTTTTACATACTCTCTGTTGATGTCTTAGTATTCATAGGGAATCCAGACTCATGGATACTGAGACCTCCCATGATGGTAAATTACATCCAGGTGCATCCACTCCATCCATAGAGTTAACTTATAAATAATAACATAAAATCAGAGCAAATTCATTACAACTTAAACAAAAAAGTATTGTGGTTATACCGGAGTTAAATGTTTGTGATGACATAAGGCCATTATTATCTAACACCACCTCGAGACCCTCACTGCTTGGGCGTGTTAGATCAGTGTGTGTTTATCACTATGAATCTATGTAATCCTTCGCGTTAACGTTAGTCTGATTTAGTATTAAGATAGTTAAGATAGTCCCAGGAGTGAAGGAAAGTGAGAGAGAATAGTTGACAAAATTAGTGAATGATGTGGGGAGGTTATATAATGTGGCGAGGATATAAGAGGATTTGTTGTTCAGTTGTTGGTACAGGTAGGCGGCTCAAGGGGCTCTGGTGGTGGTGTCTCAGGCGTACCAACACACTGACTTGTTTATGGCAGTTCATCGAAGTCAATGAGGACGTTGCTCTAGTTGAGATGATTGATGAGTTATGTGTTATACCAACACACACACACACACACATTCTCTCTATCCCCCTCTTTCTCTCTCCTCCTTCCTCTCGCCTCTTCCTTCCTTCCTTCTCTTTTAATCCACCTCCCTCCCTCCCTCCCTCCCTCCCTCATTACCTTCTTCCCTATCCCCTCCTTCCGCCTTCTTCCCCCTTCCTCCCCATAACCATTAGCCCACCATCGTTTTAGTTTAATGTACAAAAAAATAAAAAAGTCTAGTACTATGTAACAACTCTCGTAATGTAAGCTACTTGAGTACTTCCTGCTGTACATGGAGTCGCTCGTATGTACTTTTATGTATATTTCTTTGGGTCGTATTTATGTGTGAATTTATACTTTTCTTTCAACAGAGGGAATATTTTTTATGCACTTGTATTTTCCTGTAAGATAATGTTAATGCACCTGTGTACTTTGTTATGGGGGGTGGGGGGTGTCCTATGGTGTATTCTGACCACCCCCATCCCCCCCCTTGTGAGTGTATGTAGTCGTCCTAATGTACCTTTTTTATTCACTCCTGCAGTACACGGGGTCTTTCACCGTGGTGGGGCCCGACCAGGCTAGCCGAGCTGAATACGTCAGGACACAGCTCAAACAGATGAGGGTAAGTACCACCACTTTCTCAAGTACCATCTCGGGTTCAAGGACGACGTATTGTAGATCTTCTTAAGTAAGGCCTTAGTTTGTATATCTTGATTACGACCTCAATTATAGGGACTTCCTAGATCTTGAGTACGACTTCAGTTTCAAGGACGAGCTCAGTCTTAAGTACTACTTCAATTATAAGTGCGACCTCAAGTCTTAAGTACGTCCTTATTATTAGGTACGATCTCAGTTTTAAGTAAGACCTCATTCTCAAACACGACCTTAGTCTTCAGCACGACCTCAATCTTAAGTACGACCTCAGTCATAAGTACGACCTCAGACTCAAGCCCTTCCTTTAGTATGATGGCATGTGAACTTAACAACAAGATCGACCATAAAACGGGAAATTGAAAGCAAGATTTAAAAGTTTATTTCTCTCTCATTTACTAATCCTGTAACGTGATAACAAATCGAACTTTTCCCAAGGTGATACCGTTAGCGAAAACTGCCGAGGTCGACTATCCACATTGGGCCTTAGAGATCCAATTAAGCAGTCAATTAGCTGAAGAAGAAAGGTGCAATTAGTGAGGAGTGTTGAGTAGGAGTGGGGTTGGGGGGGGTGGAGATTGTAGCAGATACGAGAGCAGATAGATAGATAGATAGATAGATAGGTAGGTAGATAGATAGATAGATAGATAGATGGAGGACAGACAGACAGACAGGTCGATGAGACAGGCAAATCATTCTTCTCGTCTCTCTCACTTCACTCTCACACATTTTTCTCCCTCTCACTTACCTCTAACCCAGTCCTACCCCTCTCATTTCTCTCCCACTCACCGTCAGAGGAAGAGTTGAGAGACAAGGAAAGAGGAAAAGGGGAATGAGAAGGAGGTAGGGTGAGGGAAGGGAACGGAAATTAGGAGGAGGAGGAGGAAGGGAGAGAAGAAAGGAGGAAGGATGAAGGAGAATGCAAGGGATTGGAGAGGGAGGAAGGTTGATAAGAACGTGGGGGAAGGTTTAGAGAGGAGGATTGTGGAGGAGGGAGATGGAAGGAAAGGAAGGAAGAAGACTGGAGAGAGGAGAGTCACTACTACTACTACTACTACTACTACAACTACTACTACTACTACTACTACTACTACACTTACAACCACCACTCACTACCACCACCACCACTACCGCCAGCTCATGACACAGGTGCCAGACCCACACCATGAGCGACCATCAGCCCCACTCACTCCCCTCATCACTACTTTAAAGACCTCACCACCAGCTCCTCAGGCGAGTTTTATAATGAAATTTACACCACAATGACCTATAACCCTCTTGCTGTCTTCATTATAACATACCAGACGTGAGGTAGGTAATTGGGAGACATTTACACCTGGTCTGGTAACACTGCCGAGGAGCCAATCGCCTTGTACTTGAGGTAATGAATTAAAATACTTGCGGCGAAGAGGGAGATGATCCACCACATCTCACAAGACCGAAAATCCTATGGTAAAATGCGGTAAAATAGACGGTGATGTGATCGTGAGTTGGGAGGTGTTGGAGATCCACTATCCAATACGGACACAGGGAGGACCAGCGCTGCTCCCTGGGTGATCTATCAGGTGGAGTATAGAGCTGTTGACTCGCTCTACGTTCACTGTGGGGATAAATCTGATTATTTGCTCAGGCTGGGGTAACATAACTCAGAGGCGACGCTAAATATAAGCAAAAGGGAACGGGTGTTTGTATGCCCATAACAAGCTGCGCTCTCATTAGCCGACGCTCATAACTCAGCGACAAATCACCGCGTAGGACGGCCCAACACCGCTGCTGATTGGCTGAAACAATCAACCAGAGGAATGTACGTCACGTGGGAAGCTGGGGAAGGAAGTGAGAAGGAAGGGGATAGGGAACAGTAGAGTGGGGAGGAAGGGCCTTTGGACACCCTATAAGATTACGGGAAGATGTTCCTCACAACAGGTTAATGAAGTGTTAAATAGTTCGGGCGTCTCTACTCACCTGTAGGCGTTGTGTTTCATTTATACAGGTAATGAATGAAGGCAGGTACTGATAAAAGTTCGCCTAGAAACTTTCCGCAGACACAACCCCGCCAGACAGTTTTCCAGACCACAAAATCCCATGATATTTAGGGTTTTTTTTTTCATTCTTGTCTTTAAAAAAAATATGAAAATGTTTTTAATTAATCTTTTCTGAAGGAAGTTCTTATTCATTCGTCGTATACAAAAAAAAAATTAATGTGGCTCAAAACGTTGAAAAAATTCTCTAAAAAAATCCACCCCCCCCCAAAAAAAATAATAATAATACGTAAAAAAAGAAAAAAAAAGAATCTTGTCCTTAGAAACGTAAAAATAATCAACCATCAATAATTTTCTTAAACATTTATAATTCTCTCATCACTGTTTTTAATATACACCGTAAATTCATCGTCATTAGAAAGTGCCAGTATTAATACACTACATAATACTGTTTAATACATTTTCGTGTGCTGGAGAATTTATTTTTTCTCGTCCAGGTGGTTCGTGGTTCGGTTCGTTGACCCATCTTTTATCCGATAGTCAGTGTTAAAACCCCACCTTTTATCCGATAATCAATGCTAAAACCCCACCTATATCCGATAATCAATGCTAAAACCCCATCTTTTATCCGATAGCGAATTCTGCCAACCAGTCAATCAAGATCATCTTTATCAGCTTATCTTCTATTCAAGCTTTTTAACAACATGCATAGTCAGCTTTATCAGCTTATCGCCTATTCCAGCGTTTTATCAGCCCACATTTTTATCTTTTTTTTTACTGTTCTCTGATGTATTTCTTATCAGTTTTTGTCTTGCTGTTTGATCTTCTCAAGTCATAGTGGAAGGAAAAGAGTCTTTGATCTGAGGTAATATTTTATACATGAGTCAGGAGAGTAGAATTCACTGGAGAAATTTGAAGTAATTTTTGGGGGTCACTTGAGCGAGGTGCTAGTTGACGCCTGTGACCTTGACCTTTGAATACCTTAAAGTCATCCTGGTTGTTGAGGTTGTTGTCGTGAGGATATATTCTTAAGTTTTAAGATGGTATGTGTGGGTATAATTGCTAAGGACATACTTCGGACTTGTTACGGACATATAATGGACGTACTGTACTGTGGACGTGCTGTGGATATCATGGGGGAAACGACGCCACACACACACACACACACACACACACACACACACACACACACACACACACAGCACTCATGAGAGAGACAGAAAGACATACAGACAATCAAAACACCACACCCAACAATACCTCTCGTCTATCCATCAACTCCTGCTGTAAGGATAGTGGAGGGCGACCCAAAAGAAGACTATCAATCTATCCATTTCAATTTATCTATCAATTCTATCCCTACCTGTACCGCTTAGGTGAGAGGATAGTAATGAAAAAAAAAAGTGTTGAATATCTATCCATTTAATTACCCCCTGGTCCTTAATGGTGGTTGGATCATTAAGGAAGATGTGGTGTAAATAATGGCACGTGTGATGGGGGTCATTAATCTTGCTCCTCTATAAATACACCTGTGTTAAGTAGCTATTTTAAGCCCGGAGTTTGGGAATTTCGTAAGTCAATATTTTTTTCCTCTTAAATGGTCCTGTGAGAGGCTATTCTATTGGCCTTTATATCCAGGTTATACTAATTAATCTAACCCGAATCAGATAGTCTCGTAAGGGCTATGGCTAAATCCAGACCCACTAAATTAAGGTGAGATGACCTGTAAATATAAAATAGGGGTTTACCTTTGGGGAACAGTACCTGGTTGTATTGCGGAAGCTTCTGGCCTGACCCGCCCTGCCTGTAGGAAGACTGGGGTGAATAGCACTACCAAATCCATTACAGCTACGCAAACATCGTGTGTGTGTGTGTGTGTGTGTGTGTGTGTGTGTGTGTGTGTGTGTGTGTGTGTGTAAGAGTGTAGCGGATACTGTTGTGGTCCACACCGGCCTGCCCTCAGGTTACGGCCACCACCATCCCTACTATTACCACTACCACCAACCACCACCACCACCACCACCCCCGCTATTACCACTACCACCAACCACCACCACCACCCCCGCTATTACCTCTACCACCAACCACCACCACCTCCTCCTACTCCTCCACCTCCATTGTCGTTCCCTCGGTTCCCTAATTACAAACAAAAATAGGGTTTTTGTACTCCTTTGTCCCGTTGGCAACATTTGAGGTTTAATCAAGTAGTTCCGGAGGCTGTAAAGGCTCAATAGGCCTATCACACTGCTCATGGCAACCTTGTTTTATGTTGTGGGTTTAGCGTCGGTGTTTTTTATTGTTTGGTTTGGTGTTTTAAAGGGAAGGAAACTTTTTCTTGTTTTATCACGTTTTCTGTATTGTGTTTTATGGTCTAGTTTCTCGTTTTATTGTATTTTGTGGTTTAGTTCCTCGTTTTATTGCACAGGCTTAATGGGCCCCAGTCCTAATGGGCCCCAGTCCTAATTGATCCAACAAAGGCCAGGTTTTTGCCCATTGGGATTGGGGCATAAGATAACGGGTCTATTTGTTATGGGACCCATTAGTATTGGGGTCCATTATTACTGGGGCCCATTATTACTGGGGCCCATTAGCACTGGGTTATATAATTGTATAAGGGGTATTTTTTGTATATAAAGATAGATAAAGTTTACTTATGTGGTATTTAAATGATCTCTCTCTCTCTTTCTAAGATGGTTCTTTTTCCCAGACTAGCTAATTTTTTTCTATGATTATTTCCCCCCTACGTTCAAATTTTTCCCCACGGTGTCATATTCTTTCCCCACGGTATCATATTCTTTCCCCCACCTCCTTAACCTGAAATTCCTGCCACCAGGTAATGAGATGTCTTAACTACCTGATTTACTCCCTGACCCGAAAAGAGGCTTAATTGCAATACCTTTAGCTAATTAAGGGAACGTAATTGCTCTCAGCTACTCGTAGGCGTTCACTAATCTTCCTATCAATTAATGGCTTTAGGTTAAGTCATTTTTTACGG